TAGCTACTGAACCCAAATGGACTTTAGGCTGTATCTTGTACTTCAAAAAATATGTACAGAACATACATAGTTTTTGGGTTATGGGACTTTTGAGAGAGCTTAAGCGTTCTGCTACTGACTAGCTTGAACCCCCAGCCATTCTGCAGGAGGAAAATGTAGCTGTCTGCTTCTCTAGAGTACTGAACTGCTAAACACGAGGTTGGTGGTTCAAACCCACCAGTTGCTATGAGTTGGAACCGACTTGAAGGCACTTAATAGTGATAGCATGACTAGTTCTGATGTGGCACTGTGTGAGAAGCACAGGACTGCAAGGTCTATTTGAACCACAAGGTTGGCAGTTCAAACTCATAGGCCGCTCCTTGGAAACCCTATACTGGGTTGCTGGGATTCGCTACCAGCTGGACAGCACTTACAACAACGATAGCAGAAGGGATAGATTGTTTTATAGGTGAGAAAACCCTTAGAACAGTGATTTGTATGTTAACACGGTTTCCATGTATCCCATCTGTACTCCTTGGAAGCAGGGTGAATGTAGTTGACTTTCCTCACTCTCTGTGGGCTATATTTCCTGTGGTCACAGGCAGAAACCCCTATTTTTCCCACAAAAACCATAATATCTGTTGTCCAATGGCAACTCCTCTAAAGCATATGTCCGTTTTCTTAAGTGCCATCAAGTTGATTTTGACTCAGAGCTATCCTGTGTAGCGTTTCTGAGGAGTGGCTAGTGGATTTGAACTGCTTACCCTGAAGTGTTAGCAGTTCAGTGCTTATCTTAGAGCTCCACACCAGGACTATGTCCATTTCCGTTGGAGTTTTCCCCCCAAAATGGACACAGCTGCTCAACCATGAGTGTTGTTTCTTTCAGCGTAACTGGCGCAAGCCCAGAGGCATTGACAACAGGGTGCGGAGAAGATTTAAGGGCCAGATCTTAATGCCCAACATTGGTTATGGGAGCAACAAGAAGACAAAACACATGCTGCCCAGCGGCTTCCGCAAGTTCCTGGTCCACAACGTCAAAGAGCTGGAGGTGCTGCTGATGTGCAACAAGTGAGTTGGTTGGTGCCTCTGGCTTCTGATGCCTGCATCTGTGAGCCATTTGCTAGGGACTCAGACCCTCCTGTGTGCATATGATGTCCATTCCCTGCAGGATGAGCGAAGAGAATGTTCACTGGTGCTTCAGAATGTTTTCTTTGCTGGAGAGCGTGTAGAACCACAGCAGGAAGGCAGGCTTTGCTTGATTGTGCAGACACTGCAATGTTGTTTATGTAGTCACTTCCACAACAGTGTTGTGTTTGTGCGCGTGATCAAGGCAAACTTGAGTCTAAGCCGTGGCAAAGGGGCAGCTTGCGAATGCTATAGGAATGGAGGCTTTTGAGATGGGGAAGCGAGTTGGGGGCAGGCAGGGTTTACAGTGAGTTACTTGTACACTTGGTGAGCTCAATGAATGGGGCTTCAGGCCACATGTTGCCCAGGCTCAGAAACTAGGGCAGACGTGTGTGAAAAGGACTGAAAGATGATTCCATGGACAGGGATTGATGAGACAGGATTGGGCTAAGCAGAGCCCAGTTACTAGGGTCACTGAGTCAGAACCCACTCGAGGGCAACAATAATTGGTCATTTGAAGCAAACAAGCGGCATTTCCCTAGTAAATTAAGGACTCAACCAGAACTTGATTAATAAACATTTGTACTCAGAAAAATCCTCCTGCCTACAGTGATGGTAGACAAAAATAATAAAATAAACACAGTCACTATTCTGGCACTTAAATGCTGGATTTTCCTTTTCAGAGCAGGAATGTCCAGGAATTAATGGTTGATGCCCCGAGCACTGACAGGTGGATTGGAATAGACAGGAGCAGTTGGGACCTACTGGCACTTAAGGTGCTGGCTGCCACAGAAACCTCCAGCTGTTTGTAGAGCTGCTTGGTAATGTGCATCTACTGTAAAATTTGTCAGTGACCTTTCACCCAAGGTCCATTTTGTTGAAAACGGGAAACTATACAGTTGATTGTTAGTAGTAATGTAGCAGCATAAAAGTTTTCAAGCAGGGGAAAGTATTTTAAATGTGACCAAGTGTAGTGGTTACGAATCGGGCTGCGAACTGCAAAGTCAGCAGTTCTAAACTACCAGCGGTTCCGCGGGAGAAAGACGAGGCATTCTGCTCCCGTAAAGATTCACAGCCTTGGAAACCCTGCACAGGGTCGCTATGAGTCGGAACCGACTCCACGGCACATCATCATGATTTCAGTAATCAAATAGACATGTTGACAAGGGAGGGGGTAAATGAAAAAAAGATGAAAAGTGTGATATAGTTTAGATTTCAGGAAATACTATAGCTCCACTGAAGTTGATTTGGACTCTTAAAATGAAACATTCTGGATGTGCTTGTCCTTTACTGTTTCACGGGCCAGGTTTCTTGGGAACCACAAATACCCCCTGCCTTATTTACTCACACCAAACCATCTTACTGCTTTGCTAAAAGTGCTTCAGAGGCAAAGCCTGCTTTTCAGCCTATCAGTCACCTTTCACGGAAATGAACTCATTAGGCCACTTTTTACCAAATTGCAGTGGTGTGCTGCCGATTAAAGTTATGAGTGAATGAGTTACAACTGAAAGCACTAAGACAGTAACCGCAGAATGGGTACTGAAGACACACTAGATGTTGCCATGGTAGCGCAGTGGCTAATGAGTCAGCAGTTCCAATGCAGCAGCCATTCCACAGAAAGGTGACCCTTTCTGTTCCTATAGGTGTACAGCCTCCGAAAACCTCAGTAGGGTCACTGTGAATTGTAACTGACTCTACGGAACATAACCACCACCTTCCAACTTGAATTGTATTGTTAGCAAACAAGTCATAATACCTGTCATCGGGACTGGTTAGCTCTTCACTTGAATTTGTTGGATTCTGTAGAGAATTTTAAGTTCCATGGGCCAGTCCAAATTCTTCTGAGAATGGTAGATTAGTCTGGACTGTGGTTGAGGCCTCTGGACCTAGAGTCAGGGACAGAGTCTTCGTGATGTGTCTCTCACTGCTGTGTGGTTTGGAGATGTTTGTTGGTAGTGCCTACTAGATCACAAGGCTGTTTGCTGTGAGGATGGAATGAGGGGGGTAAACAAACTGCCTTGCTGCTAACACCCTGGAGTCAAGATGGGGATACAAGTTACCTGTCATTCAGCAACCATGTAACCCTACACACACACAGCCGCCTCTGGCTCTGTAAGGGAAATGCAGTGGGGTTCTTGGGGTTTATGCTCAAAGCTGACCTCACCTGCTTACTCAATTCTCTTCCAGATCTTACTGTGCAGAGATTGCTCACAACGTCTCCTCCAAGAACCGTAAAGCTATCGTGGAAAGAGCAGCCCAGCTGGCCATCAGAGTCACCAATCCTAACGCCAGGCTGCGCAGCGAAGAAAATGAATAGACAGCCTGTTTTCAAGTTTTATTTGTGCTAAATAAAACCATAAAAGCGCTGCCATCTGGCATCTTTCTCTCCTTGGGTTTAATTTTCCAGTTTCTTAACAGATTGTTCTTTTCTGTTAACATTGGCATCTGTCATTTGCAGACACGGCATCTGATCCTTCTGCAGGACATCAGGCGCCCAGACTTAACTTGGCCAGCTCCAACTGGGCAGGGGCAGGGTTAGGGGAGGAGAACACAGGCCAACTAAGTCCTGACACTAATACCCTGCAGCCTTGAGCAGGTGCTCCTCCTTGGTCTCACTTGATTATATGCCAGATCACAGCTGCCTCATGTGGTTCTTAGGAGGACTGAGAAAACACATGGAAGACCTAGATGAATTTCTTCTGTCTTAACACAGCAGGGTGGATGCCCAAACCCTCCTTATATATGACCAGTCCTCCCCACCCACCCACCCCCTACCTCCGCTTCTTCATGCATGATTTAAGTTTCCCAAAGTGAGGGATCAATTTAACAAACCTTAGACAACAAAAGCTAGAATTTTGTATCATTGTATGCCATCAAGTTGATTGGGACTCCTAGCGACCCTGCATAGGGTTTCCGAGGCAGAAAGCCTCATCTGCAGAACAGCTGGAGGTTTTGAACTGCTGACCTTGAGGTTAGGAGCCTGACTCAAACCAGCTATGCTAAATATGGCATGTTAAAGACGGAAAGGTGAAGACAAAAGCTTATAGGACGTCCTGATCAGTCAGGGGAAGCTTTGAAAAGCTTGTGGGAAAACCTGGAAGCTTCCTCATCAGTAGTTATGATAAATAACACGTTTTTGTGGAGTGCTCCTGGCAGAATTTGACTTTTCAGACCTTTAGTTCCAGTGGGAACTTGGAAGCAGCTTGGCTGTCTCTTAACTGAAATATTTGTTGAATTCGTTGGTCATTTTCATAATTTCTTTTCAGTGCACTTGGGGTAATGTCCGGAAGATAGTGGTCTAGCTAATAAATTGTGGAATACATAGCAAGTAATTTAGGATTCTTTATTAATAAAACCAAAAAAAAAAAAACTTTGGCCTGTCGCTTGGTGTCCTCAGTACTAAAATCTAGAAATGACATGTTAAATTTCAAGACAAACTATTTGGGCATACCTGAAAACTGAGTTGTACTTCATGCTTTCTTGTTATCTCCCAGTGTGCTACGTGTTTAGAAATTAAAAACCGTTTTGGTCTATCCAATCCAAAGTCTGAAATGTGACTAACTCCTGAAGGTATTTGAATTGGTTTTTAAGATGTCATTTCAGATTCGAGTGAAAAGATGGTAGTGTGAGTGATGAGACACTAGTTAGTATTTAAGCAGGGATTCCCCAGCTGGAAGGAGCCAGATTGACTATGAGGCAGGCATGGACACCGGATTCAGTGGAAGGCCTTGGAAGCATCCTCGCCCTGGATGCATCCATGTCCTGAGCTACCATGCCCAGCTGGTGGCAGCCTCCAGCTCTGGCAGGGCCTGCTAGTTGGGTTCCCTAAAGTTCACCTTGAGCCCAACCAGGTACCAGAGGGTCCCCGGGAGGTGGTGAGAACTGGGGTGGGACTCTTAAGGGCCCCCTGAGAGCTCTATTGATTCTGTGCTGGGCGGTGATGTGGAATCCTTCTGGATGCTTTCAAAGAGGGCGGCAAGTTCAGGGTTGGATCGGATTTGGGAAGAGAAGTCGGCCATGATGGGACTTTTCCTCACTTCAGGGATGGTTAGCAGCGAGGCCATTGCCCTCATCGCTGATCGCTTCAGCTCGTCTTGCTTCTCAAACTCCTGCTTGACGGATCCAGCTTTGACCTAAAGTGGAAGGATGGCAGAAGGAGCCCTGATCCCAGACTGATCCTGTGTCCCGGCCCTGGCTCCCTCTCCCACACCCAGCAGCCTGGCAGCCTTCAGTTCCATCTCCACTGCTTCAGGCTTCCGGGGCTCCAGCCTCTGACCTGCTTCAACTTGGCTTGCTCTTCCCTGCACTTTTTTTCCCCCAGTCAGCCAGCTTTGGTGTCACCTGAGGGCCTTTGACCAGCCAATCTACCCCCGCCCCATACACAGAACACCTTTATTTTCTTTTAACAATTTGAGGGTGACAAACTAAAAATCCAAATCCACTGCCGTTAACTTGGTTTTGACTCAGGAACCCTATAAAGGCAAGAAGAACTACTTCCTGTAGTGAAGTGTCGTCGAGTCAGTGCCGACCCATAGTGACCCTGTATAGGCTTTCTAAGGAGCAGCTGGTGAGCTTGAACCACCGACCTTGCAGTTCAAATGGCTTTGCAGTCCAAAATTCAGGATTTACAGGAGCAGTTGGCCTCATCTTTCTCCCATAGAGCAGCCAGTGGTTTTGAAACACAGACTGAAGCCAATGCGTAACCCACAGAGCTGCTGAAGTTTCCTGGTCCCCTCTTTCCATTGACAGCAAAGATCCTATCTTCTTTTACCATGCTTACAACAGGTTCCTGGTACCGTAGCTTGACCGAGAGGATCACTATCCATAGACTAGTTCATACATGTTCCTGCTCTTACAACTAATTCTACAAATACAGCTGGAGGATGAGTGTCTGAGACCTTAAGCGGCTCCTGTTTGTTAGCACCTCCGCCGTACCCACCCCCCCCCCTGCCCAAACACACACATACGCTGTTCAGAAATCCTAAGAGTTTATGGAATGAAGTCCATATGCCAGGTGCTGGGGTGGAGATTGCCAAAGTGCCATTGAGTGGGTTCTGACTCAGCAACCTGTATGGGGCTTTCCAGAACGGCTGGTGGGTTTGAACTGCCGATCTTACAGTTAGCAGTCCAGTACTTATCCTACTGTAGTGACTAAGTAGTTGGCATTAGGGTTGGGCAATCCAGAGTTCAAATAGCCTTTGCCATCTGTGAGTTTGGGTCATCACTTACTGGGGCCTCAGTTCCCCAAGGACTCCTGGTGTGGTGCTGTAGGATCAGCGCTGGACTGAGAACCACAAGGTAAGCAGTTCAAACCCACCAGCTGCTCCTCAGAAACCCTATAGAGGGTTGTTAAGAGTTGGAACTGACTTGATGGCACTTTGATGGCAGTTCACAACAACAAAACAGATAATACTAAGAGTTCTCTCCTCACAGGTGGTGGTGGTGGTTGGTTTTTGTTTGCCATGGAGTCGGTTCCGACCCATAGCAACTCTGTATAGGGTTTCCAAGGAGCGACTGGTGAACTTGAACTGCTGACCTTGAGGTTCAAACTGACTTTGCAGTCCAGTGCATTTACCCACAGCAGACTAAATTACTTACATGGGCCCACATTCACTTCTCTTAAACCTGCTTTTGGGCTTCACAGTGTTGTGGATTTCTTTTTGGTGTCGCGACTAATATGCTACTGTGCATACAAAGACTCCCAGTGGGGTCTGGTGCCTTGTCATCACGGTCATAAATGTTTCCCCCAATGTTATATGCTATCAAGTCGGTCCCGACTCATAGCAACCCTGTCTATATGGTTTCCGAGGAGCAGCTGGTTGTGTATGAACCATCAGCCATGCGGTTAGCAGTCCAGTGTTTATTCTACAGCACCGCAGCAAGAGTACTGGAATACCCACAACAAGACGGGACTAAAGAGCACGAACAGCCTGATGCCAGTTTACACTGTGCTGCCAAAACCTGGAATAAAGAGCTTTTGGTTTACAAAACTCCATAGATTTCAGAACTGTGGCCCTAGGTGCGCCAGCACTCATCACCAAACACCAAAACACCAAGCCCAACCCAGTGGTTATGCCGGGCTCTCTTCCCAACACTGCCGCCTCCCCAGGAGGCTTCCACTTCCACCTGACTTTTGAGACCTCCGTTACAGCAGCAAGCGCACCCTATTATCAACCCGTTGATCCTTTCTATTTTTCTAAGAGTGAGTCCCAGCGTCCCAACTGGGATGTGAGCAGACGGAGGAAAGGACGCATAACGCTCAGTGCTGTCTACCTAACATAGGACCTGGCACCAGGAAGTGTAATGAATGAAAGAGGGAGAGCTGGACCCCGCTGGGCAATGTGCTAGCTGTGTAGTCTGGTCAGTAACATGACCTTTCTGAGCCGCTCTTGCATGCATACAATGGGAAAAAGAATCAGCACTTAGTTGGGCTATGGTACGGGTGCCTTGGTGGTGCAGTGGTTAAGCACTTGGCTGCTAACCAAAAGGTTGGTGGTTTGAATCCACCAGTGTCACCATGAGATAAGAGACCTGGTGATCTGCCCTTGTAAAGAAAGTTGTGGCAGTTCTACTCTCGGATGTGTTCGTTGTGAAGTGCCGTAGAGTTGATTTCGACCCATAGCGACCAGCTGGTGAGCTTGACCGCCGACCTTACAGTTCAAACCAACTTTGCAGTCCAGCGCTTAACCCACAAAGCCACACCATGTGGTCATTAGCTGTCAGAATTGACTCCACAACATACAACAATCTCAACAACAAGGCCAGGGTAGTAGTTGAATGGACCCCACACACCACCTGTACTGCAGAGGTGACTTTGCAGAGGCTCTGGTAGCTGCTCCAGGTACCGAGGCCAGGGTGGTCAAGGGGCTTACCTTGGTGGTGCAGGTGGCCCGAAGTGGCTCAATGAGCCGGTCCACTCTCTGCAAGACAGGAGCAGGACACAGGGTAGCCAGCCGTGCGAGCATGATGAAGGTCAACATCTGCCCAGGAGGAAGGGGACAAGTTGGTGAAGGAGCCCAGGCCCACAGGCTCTGGACCCAAATCCAAATCATATTGCCAGTTCCTGCCAGGCCTCTGCCTTGTGAGCTCCCCCTGCGAGCCTCGGTTTCTTTCTTTATAAAATGTGAATGGCAACATCTACTCTGCTAACTATGCTTGGCTGTCTTGAGGAGGATCAGGTAATGAAAGTGAAAGGCAACTTACAGAGTGGCAGAAAATGGTTGGAAATCTTCTATCAGAGATCCAGATTATATGAAGAACTCCTACAACTCAATAATAAATACAACTCACCTGAAAACATAAAGGACTTCAGACATTTCTCCAAAGAAGATACCCAAATGAACATGAAAAGATGTTCAACTTCATCAAGTCACCAGGGAAAGGCAAATGAAAACTAATATGCATTGGTGAGAATGTGGAGGAATTGTTGGTGGGAATGTAAAACAGTACAGCTATATTCAGGAGCTGGGAGTGGTGGCCAGTGTGGCTGGCCATCACTGGGTCCAGAACGGGCCCAGGAGCTCAGTCTTACCCGGATATCATAGTGGTCCTTCAACCCATCCTCCACGTGGTTCAGGAACTCGCAGATGTCCAGCTGACCCAGGCAGCTCTCAAGCAGTGAGTACATGCACTCAAAGGCTGCCTTCCTCACGTCAAGCCCATCATCCACTGCATGCTTAAACGGCCCCATCTCCACCTGCAGCAGGGAAGGAGGCCGTAAAATCTGGGGATTACACACCCCAACTTTCTGTTACTCAACACAGTGTGCTGTTCCCAAATTGCCCTTTCTACTCTCACTTCCAGGAGCCCTGGTAGCATAGTGGGCTATGCGTGGGCTGCTAACCTTGCCCACAGACACATGCAAGTTAGAGACAGACCAGAGCTGCAAACCCAGACCTCACAGTGGAATCCGGCAACAGCATGCATGGACCTTGTAAACATCATGCTGAGCAAGAGACACAAAAGGACAAGTGTGGTCTAACCTCGCTTATATCAAATAAACAACTATTTAGGGACCAAATATGGTGGCACTGCGGGTCTGGTGTTGGGCTGCTAATGCAAGGTTGGCAGTTCAAACCCACCTCAGTAGAAAGGCAAGTCTATCTGTTCCTGTAAAGATTTACTGTCTCGGAAACCATATGTAAGGTCACTATGAGTTTGAATTGACTGAGTGGCAGTGGGTTAGGGATGGAGAGTAAGGGGTTAGGGGGGACTATTACTTAGGGAACGCTGAGTGTATGTTAATGGTGGGATAATCTGGATAAAGTTATCGCGATATTGGTTACACAACTTGAAGAATGTCATTAAGGTCACTGAATTACACACGTAGGAACTATTGAATTGGGAAGACAAAAACATAAAAAGAGCTCTCTCTTGACTCTAAAATCCATACTTTTAATTACTAGACCACACTTTTAATGGTAAACTCCTATTAGCTCCTCAAAGCCCAGGTCAGAGTCTCCCTTTCTGGAAAAAAATTCCAACCTCTCTAAACAGTCACTTGCTCCTTAGTAACATGTGAGGTGGTACAGACCTATTTATTACATTATGGGATAACTTGGCTGTTAAGTTTCCTTTGATCTCTGCCCCTTAGCTCCTTCCTTCACAAAGTGGAATCTAAATAAGGTAAATCCATAGCAGGGAAGGTGTCTGTCTCCTTCAGGTCAGGAGCTCCTCTGTGGCAGGAACTCTGTGTGGCTCAGCGCTGAGTCCTGGCACTCGGCATAGGCTGGGAGTTCAAGAAGCCCCTGCTGAATGAGGAGCAGTCACAAAAGTGAACCTGACCATATGCCTGGAGCAGTTCTAACCATTCACAGGACTTACTTCATTGAATCTTTACAACAACCCTATGATGCACACACTCATTTGAGCTTCCTTTTGCCTGTGAGGAGAAACAGGCGCAGAGTGAATGAGGTTGCCCTGGCCAGTGTTACAGAGCTGGAAAGTGGAGGGCAGGACTTGGTCTTGGCCCTGTGGCTTAACGCCTGCTCTGATGAGCTATAACCCAATCCTTACCACAGTCCTACTGGTCAGTATCTGAGACTGCAGCACACCAGGTTCCTATCAGAGGAACTGACTTCACAGCAGCCTCTGAGCCTCACCTCCCGGATGAGGTCCCGGCGGACCTTTGTCTCTTGGTAGAGAAGGGGCAGGATGCCATCCAGCAGGTCCCGGATAAGCGAGGGCTTATTGTGCACAGCTGAGTTGAAGAAAGCCAGTGTGGCCCGGCGCACATTCAGGTCCGGGTCCTGCAAGCTCTCCATGAACTCGCCTGGCAGAGGAAGACAGCGAGGCGTGTGAGCACCAAACAGCCTTAGACATGAATTAGTTATCAGCTTAATGAGCTGGCCCGCCGTGGCAGAATGAGGACAGGAAGGGGAGAGGAGGTTTTCTGAGCCTGTACTTGGTGCCGGTCATCACAGCCCTTCAAAGTCAGAATAAAAACTCAAGTCTGGCCTGGGGTCAAACGTAGGCTCTATTACTTCCTAACTATGGGACCTTGGAGAGCTTCAATACCCTCGGCTATAAACGGGCTAACACTGGCATTTGCACTGTAGGGCTGTGTGGAGTGTTGAAAGTGAGCGAACGCACAAGGAGGCTTTATAAAGTTCGTGGAATAATTCCATTATCTTGTAATACTGTTTTTTCACATTTCACACAGGGCAAAACAAAAAACCCATTCTCGCCGAGTTGATTCTAACTCACAGTGACCCCATAGAACACAGGAGAACTGCCCCACAGGGTTTCCAAGGCTGTAATCTCTACAGAAGCAGACTGCCATGCGAGGCTGGTGGGTTTGAATCGCCAGACTTTTGGTTAGCAGCTAAACACTTATCCACTGTACTACCAAGGGCTCCGTCACACAGGGCAAGGACTCCACAGATTTTAACTTGATATTATTACAGATGAGGTTCCCAGAGCTTTGAAAGGAGATGCAATGTAAATAAAGTCATACAGCACTTCTTGGAGCACTATGCGCTTCATGTATACTTTATTTTATTTTATAGTTTACTGCATTTTAATAGCAAACTTACAGGAACAGCACAGAAGACAGACAACATTAAAAACATGTACTTGCATGTAGGACAACTCAGAAAAGTATCGTGAATGGATGGAATCAACCGTATGATAAAAATGCTACAAACACCTTTAGTGGCCGTCAGTAAGAAATTTACTTGTTTTTAAAAAAATTTAAATGCTGGCATTGTCCAGAAAATTTTAACATGTTTACTTATAATTGTTATAAAGTTGAACTGCTGAAACTTGTTCACTGAAACATTTTGACTTGCATTAATGCATTATGTCCTTGCATTTATATTAAAAATTCACACAAATGAAAACCAAAAAACTGCCAATACCTGATTTCTGTCGCCTATTTTTCCATTCACAATCATATACATAGGTACCTTTTGACTCCATGGTGGTGGTGGTGGTGGTGGTGGGGGCGGGAATCTAACGTTCAGAGCTACCAAAAACAGGAAGAAAATATATTTTTTTTTAAAGAAAGAAATGTTTCCCATTATAGTGGATTCTTAAGCACGTTCTTCATGTATGCGAAGTGCTAGCTGGATGCCTTTTGGCATAACTGTTATACGTTTGGCATAGATAGCACACAGGTTGGTGTCTTCAAAAAGGCCAACCAGATAGGCCTCACTTGCCTCCTGCAAAGCACCAATAGCTGCACTCTGGAAGCGCATACCTGTTTTGAAGTCCTGAGCTATTTCTTGCACCAGATGCTGGAAGGGAAGTTTACGAATCAGACGCTTCATGATCTTCTGATAATATCTAGTTTCACCAAGCGCCATAGTCCCAGGCCTATAACGATGAGGTTTCTTCACCCCCTCCAGAAGAGGGCGCAGTCGTACAAGCAGCTTTTGTAGCCACTTGCTTCCTGGGTGCTTTCCCACCGGTTAATTTGCAGGCAGTCGGCTTTGTAGGAGCCAAGGTATAAAGACCTCCTCACTTAACCCGTCCTTCTGTTTCAGCTGGAGCTTGGCGAGCTAGAGGCAGCGTGGCGGCTGCGAACACTCATGTATACTTTAGACTTGCTGTTATTAGGTGCTGGCAAGTTGGTTCCAACAAAAGGAAATAATGTCCGTTCCTACACCATCTTCAGTCTTCACAACCCTTGCAATGTTTGAGTACATTGTTGCAGCTACTTTGTCAATCCACCTCATTGAGGGTCTGCCTGTTTTTCATTGACTTTACCAACCATGATGTCCTCCTACAGGAATTGGTCCCACCTCATAACATGTCCAAAGTACATGAGATGAAGTAACTTTTACCACCCTCACTTCTGAAGAGTATTCTCATACTTTTTCCAATATCAATTTGTTCATTCTTTTGGTAGTTCATGGCATATTCAATATTCTTTGCCAACACCATAATTCCAAGGCATCAATTATTTGGTCTTCTTTATTCCTTATCCAGCTTTTGCATGTATATGAAATGAATGAAAATACCAAAGCATGGGTCAGGTGCATCTTAGTCCTCAAAGTGACATCTTCACTCTTGAACACTATAAAAGAGGTCTTTTGCAGCAGATTTGTCCAATGCAATATGGCATTTGATTTCTAGTATATTGTTTCCATTGGTGTTGATTGTGGACCCAAGTAAAATGAAATCCTTGACAAATCCAATATTTTCTGCTTTCATGATACTATTGAATCAGTTATGTGGGTTTTTATGTTGAAGTGTAACCCATACTGAAAGTTGTTGTCTTTGATCTTCATCAGTATTTCAAGTCCTCTTAGCTTTCAGCAAGCAAGGTTGAGTCATTCGCATACTGCAGATTGTTAATGAATCTTCCTGGTGCCACGTTCTTCTTCATATAGCTTCTGTAGATTATTTGCATAGTTTACAGACTGAATAATTATGGTCAAAGAATACAGCCATGGCACACACCTTTCCTGATTTTAAACCATTCAGTATCCCTTTGTTCTATTCAAACGACTACCTCTTGGCCTATGTACAGGTTACGCATGAGCACAATGAAGTGTTCTGAATCCCCATTCTTCTTAACGCTATCCATAATTTGTTACAAGCCCCACAGTTGAATGCCTTTGCATACTCAATAAGACAGTGGTCAACATCTTTCTGGTAGTCTCTGATTTCAGCCATGATCCATGTGATATCAGCAATGAAGATGAATTTAAAATAAACCAAACCCAGTGCATCAAGTCAATTTCAACTTCTAGTGACCCTACGGAGGCTTTCCAAGGCTAGAAATCTCATCATGTTTCACTATTCAACATTCTGGTGTTACCTGAGTGTTCCACTGCTCTTCATAAGGTTTTCAGTGACTATTTGGAAGTAGTCCGTTTCTTCTTCTTCCTAGTCTGTCTTTGTCTGGAAGCTCAGTTGAAACCTGGCCACCATGGGTGACTCGGCTGGTATTTAAAGTACTGGTGGCATATCTTTCAGAGTCATGGTAACACACAGGCCACCGTAGTAGGACAAACTGACAGATAAGTGGTGGGAGATAAGGGTTAGCAATCCTCAAACCATTCTCTGTGGATTCTATAATTACTATTGTGGTGAACCATTGAGTCGGTTCCAATTTACAGCTCCTCTGTATAAGGTTTCCAACAGTAGTTGGTGGGTTTGAACTGCCGACTTTACGGATAGCAATTCAGTGCTTATCTTTATCGGCTCTTAAGTTGGCGCCCAACTCATGGCGACCCCATGCCTACAAGAATGAAGCGCTGCCTGGTCCTGCAACCAGCCCTATAATCAAGTGGGGACTGGGTTGCTGCTGTTATACACACAGCAGATCACCAGGACTTTCTTCCTAGTCTATCAGCCTGGGAGCACTGCTGAACCTGGGTAGCATCCTAGCAACACACAGGTCTCCATGGACAGACAGGGGCTGTACTTTATGTGTACCGGCCAAGAGTCAAATCTGGGCCTTCCATTAAAAAAGCAATGGTCCCCACTGTAGGATTAGCTAAAGGGAGCTGGGGTTCTGACTGTAAAAGGAAGGCATTAGAGTCGGGAAGGGAGGTAGCTGGAATGAACCCTGTGGTGGCGAGTGGGATAGAAGGCAGCTATGATCTCACCTTTCTAGACATATTGACTGACAGGTAAGTGTGAGGGTATGTTATGGACTGAATTGTGTTCCCCAGCTCTCCCCCAAATATGTGCTGTAAATCCTAACCCCTATGGTTACGAATCGGGCTGTGAACCTTAAGGTCAGCAGTTCAAAACTACCAGCTGTTCCGTGGGAGAAAGATGAGGCTTTCTGCTCCCGTAAAGATTTGCAGTCTAGGAAACCCTGTTCAGGGTCACTATGAGTCGAAACTGACTCCACAGCACATAACCACCACCACCTTACTTATGCCATGGGCTGCCAAATGAACCAACAGATCTGTGTTAGAAGAAGGGCAGCCAGAGTGCTCCTTGGAAGCCAGGATGGCCAAACTTGGTCTCTCATACTTCGGACATATTGTCAGGAGGGACCAGTCGCTGGAGAAGGATATCATGTTTGGTAAGGTGGAGGGTCAGAGAAAAAGAGGAAGACCCCTAGTGAGATGGATTGGCCAAGTTGCAGCATCAATGGGTAAGCGTGGCAACAATTGTGAGGTTGGCCCAGGATCGCGCAGTGCTTCGTTCTGTTGTGCATAGGGTGGCTATGAGTCAGTAGTGACTCGATGGCACCTAACAACAACAACAACAATACTTGTGGTTGCAGTCCCATTTGTGAATGGGCTTTCTCTGTTAGGTTAATGAGGCTATATCAGTGTAGGTGGTGGTTGGTGGTTATGTGCCATGGAGTCGGTTCTGACTCATAGCAACGCTGTACAGGGTTTATGAGGCTGTAAATTTTTAAGAGAGCAGAAAGCCTCATCTTTCTCCTATGGAACAGCTGGTAGTTTCGAACTGCTGACCTTACGGTTCGCAGCCCAATTCGTAACCACTATACTACCAGATATCAGTGTAGAGTGTGTTGTAAAGCAATCACCTTTTTGTTTTGTTTTTAAGGGGTAAATATTTAAAATGTCTTTATCATCACAACAAAGACCAAAAATATTCCTTTGTTTTGCTCTTGGGCAACCAAGAAAAATTGAACTATTACCCCATGCTACCCCCAGGAACTCTGGTAGTGTAGAGGATACAAGTCAGGTTGCTAACCTCAAGGTCAGCAGTTCAAACCTACCAGCTGTTCCAAGAAAGAAAGATGTGGCTTTCTGCTCCCGTAAACATTCACAGCCTTGGAAACCCTATATAGGGTCGCTATGAGTAACTGACTCCACTGCACATAACCACTACCACCACCCCAATAAGAAAACATTTGCTGGAACATGCCTCAATCCTTATAAGTCCAAGTCAATTTAAACTCAATAAATCAGTTCAAATCCTAAAGGCTACAGCATTTCCCTATTAGAGCAGGAAAAGAAAATCCATTTGGGGCAGTTATTTAAGATGAAGGAAGTGTGTCTTAAAGTGAGAACTGCCTGTCCTCAGGGGTTTTCTTGCTAATGTTTTTTAAGATCTCGGACTTTTCAACCTCTTAGGCTTTCTGGTGGCCGAATCCACCACCTCTTCCTTGCTTTTTATGTTTGCCTTCACTGTTGTTCATGTTCAGATCAAAGAAAGGAGGCACCCTGAAACCAAATAACAGAGCAACTTGAGGTAGATTTAAGTGATTTACATTAAAGATTTGTTTCAGAGAATGAGAATCATATGCTCAAATATATGACTTATATGCTTCCTCGGCATGGAGGAAGTAATTTTCAAGTTGAGGCTGCATGTCAGAAATTTTAGACCAGGAAAACTAATTGAATTAGTTCAAGTAACAAAGGAAACCCAATTCTGGGCGCAAAATGAGCAAGGATGTCTTCTTCCTCTTAGGCCTCTGGCTGTTCTACCCACATGATGAATATACTCCCTCGGGTCATCCGGAGGCTCCTACTGCACAACCCAGTCCACTTCAGGCATATCCAGCCCTGGCGCTGCCATAGTCGGATACAACAGTATCCCCCAGTCTGCATCACAGAACTGAAAGAATGTGGTTATTTGCTTATTTTGCTTCTGCCTTCATGAATGGCCGAGACAGATGAATCAGTGTAGTTCAGCAGCTGAGAGTGGAATTAAACAGACTTGCAGGATGTAAAAACACCGTTAGCTGCTTCTTTTGGTTTTAGTTAAGGACTGTAAAGAGCAGAAGGAATCTTTTTTCAGAGGTACAAACAACATATCTCTGCTCAAGACCATCCACTATTGCATTGGCTTTATCATCATAACACCAACATACAAGAGCTTCTTTTTCAGAGAAATCCTCACCCGGTTTTCAACTTTGAGAGTTTGCGTGGCAGAAAAAAGCATGGTCTGTGTATATACTGGCAGAAGTTTAATAATTTGCTTTAATTCCTCTTCAAATGCAACAGCCAAGATTTGATCAACCTCACCAATCACCAGACTCTGGAGATTTTGATATATGGAGACTGCGGCATTCTGCCTATGGAGGCGGCCTGGCGTGGCCACAGTGCTGTTGATCCCATTAGCAAGTATCTGTGCTTTAGCAGATCTGTTACTGCTTGCCATGACCAACCCATACAGGTGAATACTTGCTTCTGAAACACACAAAAGTCTGCATGGCCAGTTCCCTAGTAGGAGAGAGGATAAGGACTCCTTTTCCATTCCTGGGCATACATTTAGCTTAACAAGAAGTTCAGCTGCAAGTTTGATAAATGCCCTGGTTTTACCACTGCCTGTTTTTGCTGCTGCTAGAAAATCCCTGCCTTCCAGAAGTGGTCAGATACTATCATGCTGATTTTCTGTCATGTTTTAAAGCCCATTTCTTTCATTGTCTTCAGAGTGTTTTCAGTGAAGAATCCTGTCAGCCCCAAGGGCAGGGGGCACGTCACTGTCATCATCCTCATCATCTGGCTTCTCCACGCTCATTTCTGCTTCTGCGGGAGACGCAACACCACCCTCGTCCAATTTCTTCTGGTCTTCTTCAGTTTTTGCTTTTTTGGTGTCAGGTCCAGCAGCAACCTCCATTTGTCTCTCTTGATTCTGAATTGGGAGGTGTATGACTGCTCTCCCATGGGTCAAAATGGCAGATCTCTTGGAGGCTTTAAAATTTTTTACCCTTTCCAGTATGTCTTTATACATATCTCCATTTTGGACTCCTGATAATCCCACATTTCTTGACTGTTTTAGGCATTTTTTCATCTTTTCCCTCTCCCACTGTTTCTTCAGGCAGATTTCCTGATAGGCACACACTCAATGCCTCCTGTAGCTTTAGCTTTTGCTGCCACAATTTCAGGTTCCACTTCTTGATCTTCTTGCTCAGGAGTTTCATGGGCAGGTGAGACATGATGTCGGAAGAATTTGTTCACACTGACGCCACAGTCCAGCAACTCTGATCTCTTGGCTGACGCTCAGAAATCTCCTCTTGAAATCTACAAGAATACATTTAACAAGGAGGGATGGGGGACGATGGGTGTCGGGACACATGATTGCCAAGGAATAGAAACTAAAAAGACACAAGGACCTTCCCAGAGCTGACACAGAGCAAAAGCCATTCCCTGGAATCTGGACTTGAAGCCTCCTAAACTGCGAGAAAATAAACTTCAGTTTGTTAAAGCCACTCACTTGTGGTACTTCTGTTCTGGCAGCACTAGATAACTAAGACAGTGTGTATGTATAAATATACTGTTAGATGCTCCCTAGCTCTGTCTGCTGCTAGGGCTTAGAAGCAAAGGGCGACGAGCACACTGGGTAGCCAGGACTGGGGTTCTAGCACCATCCTCCAATAAAAGGAGTTAAGGCTTCTTGGAGAAATGACGGGAAAGGTTCAAGATGAGCGTGGAACATCTTATTGCGCCCAGAAGTAAGGAAATACAGAACAGAATAGAAGAGTATAGTATACAATAGGACAGAATGATATCAATAGAACATGAAGGATTCCCACTGTCCAAATCTGACACAATCTAGAGCATCAAAATCAATGACAGAAATAGATTACAGGCCACTGACTAGAACAGGAGTTCATGAAGAAATTAAATCATGAATAAATTCAAAACAGGGAAGAGGGGAAGGTTCTTCCTGAGAGCAGAATGCATAATAAATGCACAAGGAATGGTGGCGGCACTGGGAAGTTCCCCCCGTTTTGCAACTAGCATATTAATCACCGATTTAGACAAATCACATCACTGAATGCTCTTCCTAGTGAGCAACTAGAAATTTGGGTGGTATCGGGAACTTTCATTGACTCAGGAATACTTATTTATTCCAAAGGAAAAGGAGTCATTTTAGAGTTAAAAGGAGAAACTTGGCCAACTTTACCCATGTGACCAAACTTGCCATCCCCAGGCAGGGTGCAAACTGCTGCCTTGTGCGTCTGTCTGGATGCAGTGCACTGGGAAGGACCTAAAATCACCTCCCGAGCAGGGTTCAAAGCTCTCAGACTCCCCACCCTCTGTGAGAACCAGCTGTGGGGAACCGGGCAGACCCAAGTTCAGATCACCTTCCTGAGCCTTCATTTCCTCATCTATACAACAAGGTCCACCCTCCATGCTACCCAGGGTTAACTGTGATCTATCAAAAGGTTTCTGACACACACTGAGGCCAGAAATCACAGTTCAGATACACAAAAGCAAAACCAAAGCACAGGCAGAGGCCCCTGGGTGCCCTCTATGGACAGTTCAGTTAAGATGGAGGAAACGGTGAGAAGTGGTGCAGGCCTACTGGGTCAGACCCAGAACCAAGTTGCTACAGACAATCGTGCTCAACTCTCTGCACATATTCACTCTCAATTCAGAGAGTGACCACATCTGCTGACATGTTGGCTTCACAGCAACTACCCATGGCATGGCCAAGGAGGTAAGATGGCACATCACAGGGTTGCAGACCTGAAGTTGACCCACTCCAGAGCTCTCCACCCCAAAAGACTGCACCTGCTTGCCTTCTCCAGAGTCCCAGGGAGGGCTCAGCCTCCTCCCAACAAAGGTGTGGGTTTCTCCTGCCAGAAGACCTTCAGATGGGGGGATCAGGGAACTGTTCTTCCCAGCCGCAGTGTAAGACATCTGTAAAATCACCCAATTTGGTGACTGCTTGCAGTTTGTTAATGCGCTGGACTGCAAAACTGGTTTGAACCACAAGTTCGGTGGTTCAAGTTTACCAGCTGCTCCTAGGAAACCCTATACAGGGTTGTGATGGGTCAGAACTGACCTGCCAGCTCTTAGCAACAACAACAAAGCATGTCTGAGGTTGGTCCTCTCCCACTTTCTAGAGCCATGCTCACCCTCAGTAGCCCACTGGGTCCCACCCCAACTCCAACCTTGAAGACTCAGACAAGGTTTTCTTATCCCCATTTTACAGATGAGGCTCAGAGGTGGGAAAGGTCATGCCAGGCTCACCCAGACGTCGAGTGGCAATGCAGAGATTTGAACCCAGGCCTCCACACTTCATGGCTGTGGTGTGCCCTCCTGGTTCTTTAACCCCTCTTGGTTAATGGGTTAGTAAAATCCCCCCAAGCTCCAGGGCTAGTTCAAGGGATTGAACAGGGCTGGTGGGTGGGGGTGCTCACCAATATAGCTCTTCAAGAGGGGGTCGATAGGATGGGGCTGGTCCGTGATGAGGAATTTCACGGCTGTGATGACGGTGCTCCGGGTGTGTGGCTGGCCTGAAGGACAAAAGCAAGCACCTGTCCAGAGCAGAGACTCATCCAGGTTGCCCTCCTCACACACCTCTCCCCACCTATGAGCAGGTCCATACTACCATTCCCCTTGACAATGTGCATCTTTCCTAAGGTCCTCCTGCTGTGGTTGACAGAAAAAGACTGCCTGTTCTAGGTAACCATACTATAGGATGCACATAACCTATAGGAGGGACACATAACCTAAGACAATGTTGTTGTTGTTGTTGTTAGGGTATCATTGAGTCATTACCAACTCATAGTAACCCAATGCACAACAGACTGAAACACTGCCTGCCCGGTACAACGCCAAACTCACAATTGTTGCTACGCCTGATCCATTGCTGTTGCCACTATGTCAAACCATCACACTTGAGGTCTTTCTCCAACTCTTCACTTTCCCAAACATGCTATCCTTCTCCAGGAACTGCTTCCTCCTGACAACATATCTCACGTATGAGAGACGAAGTCTGGCCATTCTGACTTCAAGGAGCACTCTGGCTGTACTTCTTCCAACACAGATCTGTTTGTTCTTCTAACAGTCCATGGTACTTTTAATATTCTCCTCCCACACCATAACTCAAAAGCATCAATTCTTTTATGGTCTTTCTTATTCAATGTCCAACTTTCACACGTATCTGAGGCTACTGAAAATACTGTGGCTTGGGTCAGGTGCACCTTAGTCCTCAAATTGCCATCTTTGCTCTTTGACACTTTAAAGACGTCTTTTGCAGCAGATTTGCCTAATGTAGTACATCGTTGTTTGATTTCTACCTTAAGACAGTGGTCAACCCAAATACAAGCCTCAGGGCTACATTACACTTGCCTCAATTTATCCTCTGTCTGGTACCAAGACAAAAAGGTGACTTCTAACCTCGATTTCACAGATGAGGAAACAGACCCCAAAAGGTTAAGTTCACATCTAAAGTCACTCAGCAGATCCAAAATTCAGTGACTGATTTTAAGCCCTGGTTGTCTGCATCCCCACCTCCCATCCCCAAAGGCTTCATTCTCCAAGCAGGAAACAGTTCTGCTTCAGGCTAGCTGAAAGCCAAGGGGACCCCCTTCTCAGATCACCTCCCCCAAGCTTGGGGATGGAGAGTATTGGTTTGCTTTCTGAGAAGAGAAGCTGAAGAAAGGAAGAGAAAGCTATTTCCCTTAATGGTGAAAGAAAGGCATCAGATGTCTCCAAATCTCTCTAAAGTTCTCTCTCCCATAACCCCAGCACACTCAGCCTGGCCTAGAACCGTCTCCATCACAAGCACTCCATTTGTGAGCCACAAGGAGAACACTTACATCTTGGTGTTAAGTCTGAATGAGTGAATTACTGAATTCAGACTTGTCTCTTCCCACCGTGATTGGCTCCTAAGATGTGGAATGGCTGATGAAGATACACAACAAAACAGGAGGAAGTGAATTTAAAATAGGAAACTGAGGCTACAGGAAAATAAAGGCAGGAAAATGAGATGGAGACGAGAGTGAGGAACACGCTAAGACGGCTACAAAGGAAATCCCACAAAGTCGCTAGAAGCAGGCCACTAAATTGGCTCTACATGACCCAGAGGTCAATGGTGACATAGAAATGTGGCCAGTGAGCTGGTGCGACAGTGTGTTCCTAACAGCAGGACAGTTCCCAACCCTGACACTGTTGTCTCTCAAGCTTTCTAGCAAAGTGCCACTGTTCTCAACAGTGTTCAGCCTGTACCCACAATAATGTGGACCAGCAACCCAAAACGGCCTTTAACAGTGAACTCAGGATGACTTGAATACCACACGCTCTTCCAAGCACTTTACCTATATTGTGTCATCAAACACACCCACACACCCTATTATGGAACCAGCTGCCTGGCTTGAGACCCTCCCATTAGGGCTTTTCTTGGGACCCCACCCACCTGCCTTCTCCCTGAGCTGCAAAACACCCTGGTGTTCCCCACATGACCACACAGAACACCTGTCCTTCGGGTTCCTGTCATGCCCTGTCCTAACACCAGGTGCAAGGCATATACTCCCAGTTAGACCGACATTTGCTCTTGGCTCAAGCTAGCCCTGTCTGTCTGTCTGTCCATCCATCCATCCTGTCTGCAGGCCCCTTAGAGAGCTGAAGTGATTAATAATCTTCACTTAGAACATCCTGCTGTTGTCCCTTTTGGTGTGAAAAGAGCCACATGTACATTTTGTTTATGTGTTTGCTGGGAAGTCTCTTCCATTCTAAGGGTCCTCTTCAGGAACGGACACACTGTTTCTAACTAGCCCTTTGCCTTGCCTCATACACACTGTGACTCTTGGATCCATTCCTGTAGAGACTGGAACACTCAAAGGCAAACTGCCGGCCTCATGCCCCTACCTGCAGCCAGCTGCTTCCGGAAGCGGGGCAGGAAGAAGGGAGGGTTGAGCAGCACCAGCTTCCCTATGCACTCGGCCACCACGCTCCGAGTGCCCTCCTCGGTGTCCTCGCAGTGCTGAAACAGCAGGGCCCAGATGTCCTCTGAATAGGGCTTCAGGCTGTCGGGCTGGGCGGCCCCCAGGGCCTCCCGGAGGGCGTGGAGCAGCAGGTACTGCCTCCGGGGCTCCGTCTGGATCTGCCCCAGCAAGAAGGGCAGGAAGTCGGGCAGATTGCCGGCGCCCACCCGGCCCAGCGCGTAGGAGGCGGCCGCCCTCACATCCTCGCTGGGCGAGCCCAGGGCCTCCAGGAGTACTACCTTCAGCTCCCGCTGGGGGCCGGGCCCCGCCACCTGGCCCACCTCGGCCAGGGACAGGAATGCCAGAACCTTGACCCCAGTGCTGGAGTCGGGTGACCTGGCATCACAGACCAAGCGGTTTGCAGTGCCCGCCGCTTCCTGGGGACAGGCGGCTGCTAGGGCTGCCACACACCGGGCCAGCGAGTGAAACACCTGCTTGTGCAGGCCGGGCCCGCCGTCTTCCTCCTGATTGTACACGGGCGCGGTGAGCAGCTCTATGAGCTTGGTGTAGTTCACGCACGGGGGCCGGGTGCCCACCAGCGCCTGCAGGAAGCCCTCGGCGGCGGCCAGCACACTTGCGGGGAGCAGCGGGGAGTGGAGCAACCGCACCAGCTCCGAGAGCACGGGGCCACTGACCTCGACCAGGGAGGCTGGCTGGGCCTGGGTCACTGTGGCAAGGAAGTCCACCGCCAATTGGGCCACGTGCATGTCGTTCTCACTGACCAGGGCTGGCAGCTCCGCCAGCACCACCTGGATGGCAGTAGGCGGGAGGCATAGGCCCTGCCTCTGGGCCACCGTGTCCAGGGCTGCCAATGTAGCCAACTGCAGTGCCCGCTGGTTCTTACGCAGGAATGAGGCCAGGATGGGCAGTGTCTCAGCAAGGATGGGCTGCAGGTCCAGCTGCAGCGGGGACAAGGCCACCAACCTTAGCGCCTTAACAGCAGGCAGCCGGGTAATCTCATTGCTCAGACGCTCCAGGAGTAGCAGTAACAAGGGCTCCACATGGCCCCCAAGTCGGTCCCCCAGATGGCACACAAGGTGGCCCATACAGGAAATGGCCTGCTCCTTCACCTGTTGGTCCAGGTCGGTGGCACGAAGTCTTCCCAGGATGGCCGCTGACATCTCTCCAACGTACGGCTCTGGGTCCAACCTCTGAGGCTGGTCCAGTGGCCACAGGACCCGCACCAGTTCCTGTAGCACCAGCAATGCTTCCGCTGCAATCTTATAGAAAGGGTCAGCCACGCAGGCCAGCACAGGCGGCAGCAGGGTGGGCAGCTGCTGCTGGAAGGTCGCGGCCGATTCCGTACCCAGCAAGCCCTGCAGGAAGGTCAAGGCATCCATTCGGATGGTGGAGGAGTTGGAGCGGTCTGCCAGTGAGAAGACGATACCTGCCGGGAAGGATGGACAGGTGTCTAGTTGTCCCTGTATGTGGGAGTGGAGCCTCCACAGGTGCCGGAATTGAACTGAGGTTCCCCAGAGTTGAGGGCTAAGCTAGGGCCAGAGGTGGGTGATGTATCTGAGACTGGGAGGGAGGCCTGCACCCCAGATACACTCTCACTACAGGCAGTGGGGTGCCACCTGGTGGGGCTGATGAGGAGGGGGCACAGTCTGGGACAGGGTCCTGAGCTACTTTGGAGACTGGGGGCTCCACTGAGCGCTGGGGCCCAGGTTCTGGTACATCCTACCTGAGACCAGCACAGGCATGTGCTCAGCCAGGCTGCCTGGGAGGACAGCTGCCAGCTCAGCAAGGAGGCTGAAGCAGCCTTGGCGGACACGGATGCTGTGGGCTTTAAGCTGCTGCTGCAAGGCTTTCAGCACAAGTGGCACCTGTGGGTAGGTGGGCAGTCAGGGACCACCTATGAAACCTCCCCCACCTGCCCAGCACTGAGGCTCTGCCTAGGCACATCTCCATGGAGGACCCCCAGCATAGAGACACTCCCTCCTAATCACTCATCAACCACTTAGATCCCCACATATGGTGGTAGTGTTGGTTGTTATGTGCCATGGAGTCAGTTCCGACTCACAGCGACCCTGTGCAGGGTTTCCGAGGCTGTAAATCTTCACAGGAGCAGAAAGCCTCATCTTTCTCCCACGGAACAGCTGGTAGTTTCCAGCTGCTGACCTTGAGGTTAGCAGCCCAACTCATAACCACTACGCTACTAGAGCTCCCCGCATTTGGGCCCCATGAAAACCAAACCCACTGTTGCCGAATTGATTTTGACTTGTAGCAACCCCAGGCGTTACCCTGAGCTCCACAGGGTTTTTTTTGGCGGTAATCTTCATGGAAACGGTACTGGTGGATGGGTTTGAACCAACAGCTTTTAGATTAGTAGGAGAGCACAGATCATTTGTACCATGCAGGGATTTTAGACTTCCACTTTACAGATGGAAATCAGGTACTGAGAGAATAGTAGCTTGGTCAAGGAAGGTCACACAGGATGAGGGGAGGATCCCGTCCACTCACTCTCAGAGCCTGCAATCCTGACAATGCGCTTGATGCTAATGACTCCCTGATCTATATGTGCCTTCCATGGGTGCACATCTCGACTTGGACATCCAGTGAGGACCTCAAACTGGAATGCTTAGAGCCCTCAGCAGTCCCCACCCCACTGTCTCAAGATACCTCTCAGTTCCTCACCCTTCAAGTCCAACCCAGCAGCAAGACATGATGATTCCACTCCCAAAATAGAGAGCAGGACCCCTTCTCTCTAATCTCCACTGCTGCCACTGAGTTCAAGGCCGTATCGCCTGTTACTTGGTCCCCTGGAGCAGCCACCTGTGGGACTCCCAGTGTCTCCTCTGGCCCCAGAACAATCCACTCTCTCCCAGCAGCCAGAGTGAACTTTTACAAATGGAATTTCTCTCTCTAACAGCTTCTCACCTGGTCTCGCAGCACGTGAAGGTTGCTGCATGTCTGGGTGGGCACCTCCTTGACCTCCAGCCATCCCTTTGGGGGCCGGGTTTGCCGCAGCAATTCAATGTAAGCCCCGAAGACATCGGCCTTGACATTCTCATCACGCTCTTTGAAGCGGCAGATGAGTGCAGGCCCCAGGGTACAGTGGAAATTGGGCAAGAGGTCAGGCCGCGAGCTGATCAAGGAGGTCAAGCACTTGGCTGCTGCCCGTCGTACCTTCCAGCTCATGTCCTCGTCATCGCTGTACTCGTCCTCGCTCTCTGGGGAAGGGAACAGGACACCATGGGACCCTTTGCACGCTACTGGGTGGGGTCCAAGGCTGGGTCTGAGCTCATGAGAGGGAGGGAGCCAGGCACCACAAGTCACCTACTATCCTGTGTAGTAGAGGTAGTGCAAAGCACTTCAGATCCACTTTTGCCTCACACAGACCTAGCAAGACAAGGGCTGTTTCCATAATAGAGACAAGGAAACTGAGGCTAAAGGTCTGGAGTTAAATCAGGGTCCTCTCTTGGTCTCTAAACCTGCTATGCATTGAACTGTGTTCCCCCAAAGATATGCTGAAGTCCGATCTTCCAGTACCTGGGAATTCAATCTTGTTTGGAAATCAGGTCTTTGAAGATGTTCTCAGTTAACATGAAGTCGTTAACTGAGTAGAAGTCCTTAGGAGTAGAATGGGTCCTAATCCATTTCAAGTGGTGTCCTTGAACAACAGAAGCACAGAGACACACACAGAGGGAGGGGAGCCGTGTGACGATGGGGCAGACACAGAGGTACACCTGGGGTTTCCAGAGAGACAGGAACTGCCCCTGGAGCCTCTGAGGAGAGTATGGCTCTCCTGACACCATGCAGTCAGACTTCTGGCCTCCAGAGACTGAGAGACAACAAATCGCTGTCACATTATAGCGCTTTGTGAGGGAGTTCCAGACACTGTACATCAATGTTCACTACAGCATTATTCACAACAGGCAAAAGGTGAAAACAACCCAAGTGCCCATGATGCAACACAATGTAGCACAAGGGAATACTATTCAGCTATAAAGAGAAATGAAGTCCTGTGAGGTTCATTGAAAACATTATGCTAAGTGAAAGAAATCAGTCATAAAAAGAACAAATATAACACGAGCTCACTTATATGAAATATCTAGAATAGGGAAATATGGAGAGATCACAGTTTATTAGTAGTTATCAGGGAGAGGGGGAAACATGCAGTTCCTGCTTAAAAGCAATGTTATTGTTGTTAAGTGCCGTCGTCGAGTCAGTTCCGACCCATGGCGACCCTGTACAGGGTTTCCGAGGGTGTAAATCTTTACGGGAGCAGAACGCCTCATCTTTCTCCCGCAGAGCGGCTGGTAGTTTCGAACTGCTGGCCTTAAGGTTCGCAGCCCGACTTGTAACCACCACGCTAGCACTTGGAAACCAGCAGTGGCAATGGCCACACAACATGGTGAATGGAGTTATGCAGCTCAACTCTACACAGATAACAGCTGAAATGGTAAATGTTTTGGAACATATATTTCACCACATACATACACACACAAAAGAACTAGGTCAGAGATGCAGCACGGGCAGGAGATGCTGACAGATACGACTCCAAGGCCCAGCTATGCCACGTCTTAGATTTGTCACCTCAGGTAAGTGCCCTTTCTATGTTTCCATTTTCTTGTCTGAAAATTGGGGGAGCGATAGCTTTTTATAGAGCTGTTGGGGACTCCTGGATTGCTAATCACAAGGTCAGTGGTTCAAACCCACGAGCTGCTCCTTGGAAACCCTCCACACGATCATTATGAATGGGCACTGATTCCACAGCAATGGAGGGTTATTGTGAGAAATATGAAATAAGAGTACTCAAAACACCAGTACCAAAACCAAATCAACCTGTGGCCATTGAATCGATTCCGACTTACGGCGTGCCCCCATGTTCTGCAGAGTAGAACTGCCCATAGGGTTTCGTGCCTGTAATTTTGACAGAAGCAGATAGCCAAACTTGTCTTTACTGGCACTTCTTGGTGGGTTCAAACCACCAACCTAGAGGTAAGCTGTCATTGCTGTTGTTAAGTGCCATCGAGTCGACTCCAACCCATAGCAACTCTGTATAGGGTTTCCAAGGAACAGCTGGTGAGCTTGAACCACCGACCTTGCAATTCAAACGGCTTTGCAGTCTGGTGCATCGTTAACTGTGTCACCCAGGGGAAATTAAACACCAGGCGTGGTCCAATAAACAACAGAGTCCATGGGTAGCACACACAGTTAATGACTGACAACCCTCTTGTTGGAGGTTTGGGTCCACCCAGAGGTACCATCAAAGAAAGGTCTGGCAATCTGTTTCCAAAAAATCACTGAAAACACTGTGGAGCACAGTTGTACTCTGACACAACTGGTTTGTTTTTAATGACTACTACAGTCTGAAACTACCAGCTGTTCCGCAGGAGAAAGAGGAGGCTTTCTGCTCCCGTAAAGATTTACAGCCTCGGAAACCCTGTACAGGGTTGCTATGGGTCAGAACCGACTCCATGGCACATAACAACAACAACAACAACTGGCGCTGTCAGACAGGACAAGGACCTGAGGAGCTCTGGATTTCTAGGGCAGGGCTGGAGCCTGAGGAAGAGATAGAATCAGGATGGGGCTGGAAAGGAACTGAGGACCCCCCTACCTCCCATCCAGCCTGTGGTCCCAATGAGAAATGGTCACTCACCTTGCTCACTGAATTCACTGTCCTCTGTCTCCATCAGCTCCTTGTCGCCACCACTGTCATAGTTATAGTTGGGGTCATGCTTTATGTACTTGAGGCAGAGGCTGGTGACATTGGGCACATGAGGGCCCATCTCCTTGGGGCACCTGCAGGTGTGATGGAACAGGCTGGGGGCAGGCCGCAGGGGTGAGCTCTGGGATCTCACTGCTTTGAGGCCAGTGCCTCACTCCCGACACCCACCATTTCCCATGAAGCTCCCTGGCCCTGTCTCTGACACTGTTCTGCACCTACTTCCTCAGGAAGGCCTCAAAGGCCTGGAGACAGGACTCTCGAAGCTCATCATCATCCATGTTGCAGAACTCTTCCACCAGGGGCACCAGGCAGTCTAGGTGGTCACCTGTGGAGTCAGCAGGACACAGGTCAGGCAGCCAGTCTAGTGCCTCCCAGGATCCCCCCAGGCTGTCCTGTACCTGCAACCCTGACCACTGTAAATCTCCACCAGAGACTTCAGAGTCAAGTAGACATGGGTTCTAGTCCCGACTCTGTCACCTATGAGCTAGGGGCCTCAGTCAAGTCACCAGGCCACTCAGCCTCAGTCTGCTCATCTTCACAGTGGGAATACCAGGCAGAAAGTTTGTGAAGATTAATGATGCAGTGTAGGTAGACCTTAGCTCAGGTTCTGGCATGAGTAGCATCTGTGTCTGACACTATTACTCATGTCTTAGCTTCATTTCCGGCACTAGGTTGTAAAACTGAGGCGGGAGAAGGCAAGGCGGCACAGAGCTCTGAGAGACCAGGCAAGAGAACAATGCAAGAAGTCCACAGGGCCAAGGGGTATGCTGACCTGGAGCCCCAAAGCCCCTCTTCAAGACTCCACTCTGGGTACTTGGGATTCCTGGGTTTCCTACCCAGTTGGCCCTGAGCCCTTGTCCAGATTCTGCACAGGCCTCTTTCCCAGGTCCATGCTTGCAAGGGTGATCAAGGGGTGGCTGCTGTTTGAGAGGGAGGTGGACAGAACACTGGTGGTATTCACACAAGTTCTTGCAAAGCCCCTTGCAGTGAGGGAGACAGCTTGGGGTGAGGGACACACTGTGAGCCCACTCTACCCACACTGCCACGTGTAGCCCAAGTGTCTGAGAATAATTCAAAACTGGTTGTGTGATCCCACTTGTATAAAACCTTAGAAATTGATAACTAGCCTATAGTGACAAATAACAGGGCAGTGTTTGCTGGGGGCGGGGTAAAGGGAGGGAGAGATTACAAAGGGGCACAAGGAAGTTTTGGGGGCATCTCAATTGTGGTGGTAGTTTCACAATGTATCCAAAGGTCAAAACTCTAATATTAAAGTGTACGCTTTAAACGGTGCAATTTACTGTGCGTAAATTATTACCCAATAAAGTTGCTTAAAAAATTCAAACCTGGCTTATGGGTTCTCGTTAAGACATACAAGTCTTAAGAATTGCTACAACAGACTAGAAAACTTGATTAAACAAAAATATCGAAACCTGAAGCTATTGTTCCCTCACATAGCCTCCATCTAGGTCTATATACTTTTGATGGTTTTTCATCTCTTTAACCCTTCCCGGAAGAATTTTGTACTCTTTGATTTATGCCACACACAAAAAAGGCAGTTTTGACATCCTCGAGGGAGTCACACTTTGTTCCTTGAAATGAAGGGGCAAGACCAGGGCTGTAGGGCGGATGGTGTAAGGTTTCTCAGCGAACTTCCCCTAGGACAATCCCTGCTGCCTCCAAAGAATGGGCCAGTGCACTGTTGTGATCAAACAAATTCCTTGGAACAACTTTCCCGGCCTAGACTCACCAATTCAGTTTTCAATTTTCTTCAAGCTTCCAAATAAGCCTTCGTGATCGTCCTTAGAGAAAAATCTATCAAAATGCTGCCTTTAGAATCCCTCTCCAATTGCCATAACCTTCAAAACGGACTGCTCTGCCTTTAATTTAACTGTTTCCAGCAGGCAAATCGTCCCAGATGCCGTTGCTTTGATTGGACCTTTTAAAAAAAGTCATCCTAATGAAAGCAAGACAAATGTATTTCTGCCAGAACTTGTCTGCAGCCATTCACTGATCGTAGAGACCTGTTTAAACACATTTTGTTTTTAATAAAACCGCACATGTATGAACTGGAATCCTAGTAGCAATACATTTTGATTTATATTCACATTCGCTAAGTATGAGGCTAGAACAACAAGGTATTTAACAATTTGGTGGTCTGATTTATTAATATTATTACGAGTCTGTGGAGCCCAAAAGCGATTAAACCAAGCTCCTCCCCTCGAGGGTACGGTACTCAGCAGGTGGTCAGAACCTTTGCTGGCAGCTCAGCTGCCTCCGCCCCTCAAGCCCCGCCCCATTCGCAGCCCTGTCCTTAGCCGCTTTCCACCCTCCCTCTTCCTTAAGCCACGCCCCTTCTGTGGGTTACTACACTGATCACAAGGTCTGTTGGAACCACAAAGTCTGCAGTTCAAACCCACCAGCCGCTCCTTGGAAACGCTATACAGGGTCGTTATGAGTCAGAACAGACTTCACGGCACTTAACAACAAGCCCGCCCCTTATCTAGAGGCTTGCCCTCTTACCTAGGCGGTGGCCAGCCTGACGGCCGACGCTCCCCAAACATTGGATCAGGGTGTGGATGGCGGCGGGGCTGGCGGGTGCCCTCGGGCCAGGCAGCTGGTGGATCAGGTAGTCGGCGAGCTCCACGAAGAGGTCGGTGTTGCAGGCGGCCGCCAGGTGGCCCAGTGCTCCCACTGCCCGCTTGCGCACCGCCTGGCGCGGGCTGCTCAGCTGCGGCAGCAAGCAGTGCAGGAGGCTGGCATGGAAGGTGCCCAGGGAGGCACCCAGCCTGTGCGAGCAGCAGGGGAGGGAGGTCAGGCCCGCCGCGCGCACAGCTATGCTCCATCCTCTCCTGTCCTTTCTCCCAGAGATTTATGGCAACTGATGGCCGTTGACAAATTGAAAAGATCATGACTACTATTGCATGAGAGAAACGCAGAAAGAGGGGAAGAGACGTCCTATGGGATTTCCAGCCAGGAAATGCAAGGCCTGGACGTGAAGCCAGGTGTTCAGGCTCCCCGCCTGGGGAAAAGACCCATTAGGGATGGTAGGGGGCAAGGGGATCTTCTCTGAGAGTCTCGGGACTCTCCCCCCAGTACATCTCTCTGACGCCAGAGTGGTGTAAAACTTACTGTTACCTAGTCACTCCTTTGCTCTGGGTTCGAGGTGGCACCAAGGAATGATTTCTACACAGAAAAAAATATAACTCCACCCCACCCTCGCCTGCCTCACACTTGTCTTCACCTTCTGCCCCATAAATGTCCTGAGACCTTTTTTTCACTTCATACTATCTCACTGACACCTGCCACCCCCGCCGCCAGAGCTCTGTGCCCAGCTCGGACCTGATCTTTTCTGTTGTTGTTGAATGGTACCTCCTTACAGCGACTGTCTTAGGCACAACAGAAGGAAACACTGCCCCATCCGGTGTCAACCTCACAACCTTGAGCCCATTGCTGCTGCCACTGTGGCAATCCATCTCGTTGGGGGTCTTCCTCTTCTTCCCTGACCCTCCACTTTAGCAAGCATGATGTTCTTATCCAGGAACTGGTCCCTCCTGATAATATATCCGAAGTATGAGAGACAAAGTCTGGTTTCTTAGGAGTATTCTGAGTGTACTTCTTCCAACATAGATTTGTTTGTTCTTTTGGCAGTCCATGGTACTTTTAATATTCTCCTCCAACACCTTAACTCAAAAACGTCAATTTTTCTATGGTGTTCCTTATTCACTGTCCAATTTTCAACTTTTTATATGAGGTTATTGAAAATACCATGGCTTGGGTCAGGCACACTTAGTCCTCAAACTGACATCTTTGCTCTTCAACTC